CTGCATTTGTCAGATTCTATTAAACAGCAGGGAAAGAGAACAGAGGAGCTGGTGAATCTGTCACATCCCTCTTGTTCAAAAGATTATTGATGCTGCATAATTCATCAAAGCATGACTGACCTAGTGGCGGGTTCTGCTGCCAGAGGTGTCCAGTTACTCCTTCTGTTGCAGCTGCCCATAAAGCTCCTTGTTTGTGAAAATAACCTCTGACTTTGTGTCTGCCCATGAGCCTTTCAATTAGTACATGTACAAGGATCACTCTTGCCTTGGACTCAGATAAAATGTGAAGGTCCTGTCCACTGAGAAATGCTACAGTTTTGCCATTTCCTTGTGTTTTGCAATGTGATTGAAGTAGGGAAGTACCAATCAATACTTTCTGTGCAACAACAATCCTGGGAAATTTTAATTGGAAATATTATAGTGCCTTTTTATTCTGACATTATTTATACACTGTTTTGGGATTATTTTACATTCCCGCAGTTGAAATATTTTGATTGATGAACAGTGAATAAATATGCTGTTTTGTAATGTTTGTTTTTAAATTATTTCATTACTTCCTAATAGCAGTAATTTCTTGATAATGAAGTACTGCTTGATGGGAGTTGCAGTTCAGAAGCTTGGCAAATTCACCCTGAACCGCTCCTGTTGCCTGATTTATATCTCTAGTACTGCATCATGAAAATTGGTCAAATGGAATTTGAAGTCTTACTGATGTAGCGATAGAGGAATCTGGTCTGTACAGCATAAGACAGGTTCAGGTATTGAATCTCATGAAGCAGCATGCTGCAGCAGAAAATAAAAAAGGAAGTTTGTTTTCCAGTGTTCTGATTCTCAATGCAATATTTCTGGTCAGGAAAAAAAAAAAATGTGTCAAGACATTTAGGTTGGCTATTTCCTCTATGTTTCCCAGATAGAAGATTGAAAATGTACATGGCTAGAAAATTATAAATGTCTGCCACAGTTTGGAAATGCTCTTTGACATGCACAAACTAGGACCAGGAACCAATCTGCCTAAAATCTCACTTCATTACAAATTCAATCCTATCTTACCAAACTTACCAGGTTTCCTTGACCATGTAGACAACTCTGCATTAAATAACTCCTGGGAAGTCTGAGAGTTCTTTAGGTTTACCCTTTGTTTCACCAGCACAGAGTGAGGAGAGACATCTCAGAGAGACAGGTATTTGTATCCTTCCTAAGCTCTGCTATGGGATGAGTTTAGTCCACTGGAGAAGTCTGCAAAATCAGATCTCATCAAGGCCGCTGAAGAAGACTGCTGAAATAAAAAAGTAGTTGAAACACTGCCATCAGAAGGAATGGGTCTTTTCCCAGGGCACCTCCAGAGGGAATGCAACCTGGGTATGCCACAGTGTAAGGGACCAGACAGTCAGGTCATGGCCAGAGTTTTGCTTGAGCAAGGTACGCAAGAGACCTAGGGCCAAAAAGCAAATGAAAGAGGAAGACTTCTCTAACCTAGGATTATGCAGGTGGTGTGGAAGAAAACTCTAGGGACATTTTGCCTCTTGTGTGGGTTAAAGTTAAATGCATACATACTATAGGGAGGAGTGTTAGATCTAGTTCTCCATATCTGCAGATGAGTCTGGCTGCTTCCCAGCTGCTGGGGCTGCTGTCCTGACCCTAGCCCCACTTGTGCCTGCCTTGGGTCAGGAGCCCTGCCTTCCCAGCCAGCAAGAGTGATACCTGAGTCCTTATGGCACCTCTCAGGGGTGGTGGCTGGCCCCCAGCCACTGAACCCATTGCTTTCCACTTCACCCATGGGTATTTGTGCCCCTAGATCACAGAATCATAAAGTTATTTAAGTTGGAAAAGCCATCTAAGATCATTGAGTCCAAGTCCAGGCAACTTCAGTTTTAGAGAAGTCAGACTTGACAGGACCCACTGCTTTCTCTCAGATTGTCTTACTGATGAAAATGTCCTGGTTTCTGGGCAGGAAGAACCACAGGGCTGGACTGCCATTCTGCTTTGCAGGACTTTCTTTTATCTCAGCTCAGCAATATCACATCAGCAACAAAATAAAAATAATATGTTCAGAAGGACCTATACAATCATAAAATATCAGGACCACCTTCCACTCCCAACTTTAAGAGGTGAAGAATAACAGCTCCACAGCATTTGGGCTGACTGACTGCTTTAACCTCTCATGGGTGATTAATAGTACCGAGCAGAGGAGTAAAAAGTTTAGAATTGTAAAATACTCTTTCGATCCTGGTAGTAATTACCTCTTAGCAAAGTTAGTGCTTTGCCAACTCAAAGAGACCTAATCCCCTTCTGTCATAGGAAGAGAAAAAATGTAATAGCTGTGAGAACCGGGAAGCTTATTTTCAAATAGATGCCTCAGCATTTTGATATTTTCTGTGGGATTAACTAGTAACACAGGAAGGCTGATACATATGCAGAGCTTTCATTTGCTTCTGTAACAATTTGCCCTAGGGCAAATTGAGCTGCATCATGAAAAATGGTGTTGTTTCTCCTCCTTTGTCAGATGAAGGAAAAAGACTTGTTAGCAACATAGAAACAATTTGCAACTCTGAGGGAAGGTTTCTCCTTGCCTCATATATCTGCTTAAGTTTCTCTTTTTCTTACCCAAACAGAAAGGGCTGCCATTTTAGAAGCAGAGAAGCCACGTAATGAAACATGTTAAAGCATCTGTGCTAACATAAAATAGGACCGAAGCTCTTTCTGTACTGATCTGTTGCAGTCACACAGTTGCTGCTAGCTCAAACAACTCTGGCTCCTAAGGCTGGCTTTGTGCTGTGCCTCCGAGGCTGGTTCTGTGAGCATCTGGTACTGACGGGCACAGGCAGCGAGGGCTGCAGAATACTAATGATGCCACTGGCTCCCACAAGGCTCCACTTCTCAAAAATGCTTCAGCCATTCAGTGTCCATGCACCATGCTGAGCAACAGGAGGCTAGAAAACCCATGCTCCGGGATTTTTTTTTTTTTCAATGCAGAGCAAGAAGCTGACAGAAATGATGGCTCTGTGCTTCACATTGTTGTGCCCAGGCTTCTTTCAGAGCTGCAGTCATTTATATGCATAAATATCAAGCCTGTCACTTGTTGCAGGCTTTGATAGCATTTGTATAACAAAGGAATCAGGGAGAGAAAAAACCTGAACATCTTCTGTCCCTTTGAAATAGAACCCTTATAAAAGCCTTAGAAAATGAATGACTGTGTCATTATCAGGTTTCAGGTTTTATTAGATCACTAACTATCCTCTGCAATTTGTTTTCCTTCCTGTTCTGCTGTCTGATGTAGACGACCACAGGAGGATCTCCCCCCACACCCTTTTTGTCTTTCTCCCACACTGTGACTACCCACAGGGGGTATCTCAAAGAATTACCTACCAGTAATAATTGCCACAGGAAAGCCTCTTGCCACATACTGACCCCGTTTCATCTTTTGCTTCAATTTTTTTTTTCTTCCATTAGCTATCTGACAAAGTCACTCCACATCACCCATTTTGTGCAGAGATACGAGAACTCTGCTGTAATTGTATTTCTGATTACTCACTTGGCTTTTCTTTATCTCCCCTAGGCAAGATGCACGCTTGCTATTTGCTCTGCATACCATATCTTTCTGCAGCTTCTAAACTGAGGCTGACATCATGTTTACCAGTCATCTCTGTCTGCAAAGCTATACAGTTGCATCTAAATTTTCTCTGGGTCTTGCAGCTATCCTATATTGAAAGACAACTAAAATACATTACTCGCACAAAGCTACTTTTCCATTAAAGCAATTGGTGAAGTATCACAAGAATGTTGTTCTGATGCCAGGAGGGAGGAGGGAGAGGTTTGTACTGATTGCTAATAGGAGGGGGAATAGCCTTTGAGACAATCCCCTTATTAAATGTGGTCTGCACAATGAAAAGCTTGGGAAGCTTTTCTAAGGCTTCTCACATTTAGGCTTTGTGCCCAAGCTCAGGGTCTCAGACACGGAGGTGGTTTCAGAATACCACACAAGGGGAACCATTTCAGCAAAAATATCAAGGTTACTTGATTAATTTATTAAACTGTCTTGGATCACCATGCCTCTTTTTCGGCATATAACTCCAGCAGAACAAAGTAACAATTTCTCTCTAGACCTCTACCCAGTCATTGGTCTGCTGGGCTCTCAAAGAAGTTCCAGGGACAAACAAGAGATAAAGCCCCTCTGAACATTGCCAAGGTTAACTAGAAGTTTCTTTTTTCCCCTGAGTAAGTGTAATTTTTTTGTGCCTCCTCCCTTTACAGGTCTTCCCTAATCTTAAGAAAACCTTGAAGCAGTAGTGTTACAGTCCTGATAGTCTGAAGATATAAACAGTGTAGGATTTATAGGGACAAGTGATATATTTTCCTAAAGAAGGACGTGTGTGTCTGAAGGCTTGTCTGCTTTTTTTTTTCTTTTTTTTACCAGCTGTATCAGTTGGTCTAATAAAAGATACTACCTTTCTCTACAAACATTGCCTTATTTACCAGAAAAGTTGCCTCCAGGACATAAAACACTTAACTGTGTCAAACTTCAGTGTCAGGGTGACAGAGTAGAATTCAATGGTGTGATTTCTATGCCCTGAGCCAGTTGGCAAAAATGAAAGTAAGATAGGATGAACGCTCTCATCATTCTTATCATCTGCACGTCATTATTGTCCCTTACACCTCCACTCCACGCCAGTATTTTTGTCTTTCCTACCTCTCAACTGTATGGAACAGGTCTTTTCTAAGAAATAAATGCATGTTGACTAGCATCTTTTGGATGCTATCTCAGAGAAACAGCAGCTCTTATGGTATGCTTGATGAAAGTTTTCTCTGCCTTCTGATTATTTTCTTGGTTGCTATATCACTGAACTTTTTTTGTTGTTGTTTACTACAAGTGAGATTCAGAGAGCTGGAGAAAAAGAAAAGCCCACGGTGACTGAGTAGACTGTTTCTCCTCTAAGGATCACCTAAGTGTTGTAACTTAGTTGCAAATCTTAAAGGAATTTTTTTTTTTTTTAATATTTCAGGTGAACTTTCTGTGAAAGGCACACAAGACCCATTCCTTGTTAGTGTACATATTATTACAGACCCAGGTGAATCCATGACTCTTCAGCAGGCCATTGATAAGCTTCTAGCCTGGATCCATCCAGACCTCCAGCTGTTTCGGGTCTCAGAAAGACGAGTGCCCAGGAAGCGCAGGAAGCCAGCCAAGGCTGGTGTTTCTCAGCCAGCCCTTGCTGTCATTCTGTTCCTGCAGGAGGAATATGGAGAAGAAACCATCTTGCAGCTCCATGAAACTTTTCAGCGGCCACCTTGGCATTACCACCACACAGAGCTCCTGCATGGGAAATTCCTCCCTTACATGCCATGCAGCCAAGACTTTTACACTTTGGCTCCAGAGACTCCTCTGTGGGCCATTCGCCCAGTGCACTACGGGAAGGAAATGATCCGCTTCACCATATACTGCAAGAATGAGAATTTTTTGGACATTCTGAAATTGTATGAGTTAATATTGAAAAGACCAATGTGTCAGAAAAAAGCGGACTTCTGTGTTTTTCCTGTCTATTCTAACATGGAAATAGACATTCAGTTTTCTTTAAAAAAGCTCCCAAAGGGACAAGTTCCAGTGAGGACAGAGTCAGCCGTGCTGGAGTTCAGAGTAAAAGACGTGGGGCAGCTTGTGCCTCTCTTGCCCAACCCTTGCAGCCCCATCAGCAAAGGCAGGTGGCAGACAGAAGACCACGATGGAAACAGGATCCTTTTGCAGGTAAACTCAGTACACAGGGAAATAGAAGTACATTTCTTGGTTTTGTGCAGGAAAACTTTCCCTGCACTGGCAGTTGCCCTTTTGTTGGTTGGTTGGTTTTTTTGCTCTATCCTTGGAGCAGGAGCCAGGACAGTACTGCTGAAAAAAATCTGAAACACCTTGCTGTGTTGTGTAACTGATCACAAAAGCAGTGAATGATGTTAGCCAGATATCAGTCAGCCTCAGTTTATTCTAAGAGTGATGTGAGATGATATAGCAGTTTTAAAAAATGAGGAGAGAAGAAATTATGAGCCCAAGTGGAGAAATAATGGCTGGTGAGTGTAGTTTTATATGAAGTATGGGCACAGAACTGACATGGAGTTTTAAAATAGCCCTCGGTTATAAGACTTTTATGGAAGACAAGCAGAAGTCCTGATGGTACTCATTATTTTCTAGCATCACTGGGTGACAAACTGCAACTCTCTTTTACACAGTGATTATCAGGATGAAAGAGAGGTGATGAAGGAAAGGAAATGCATCCTGATGAGCAGCCTAAGAGAGACATTCCCAGACTCTCTTTTTGAACTAATCTCAAGTGCTCATGACCGAATCCTGAGAGTTTGTTAGGACATCTGTAGGCACCATATCTGGGCAATATATCAGCATTCTCTGCTTCACTACACCACATCCAAGGGAGATAAAAGGATAAGCAGCAAACTCCTAATAGTTGCCTGCCCTGCAGAGGGGTATCTGTGGCAATCCAGAGCCAGGTTAATGTGCATTCTTGCGCTGCAGAGGTATTTATTGCTGCTTACATTAAAATCAAGGAGCACAGTCCTTCACCTTTATAAGGATGTTGTTCAGATTTCAAAGGGTATTCTTTTGGAGTGAATTTCATTCATGTGGCTTGTCCAGTTGCCTGACATTGTTTCTGTGGAAGGCGCATTAGGGGTGCCATCCTTGCTCTGTACAGACCTACAGCATGCAGAGAAGTGTGTGCAACCCTGTGTGGCACAGTGCCTCTGGGTTTGTAGTTCCTGGGGCCGAAATTCCAAGTAGACAGGACATCTCTGCTCTGGTGAGTCACATGCAGGTGGTAGTGGAACCTTTTGGTGCTGCTTTGCAGATGCCACCATCAGAGAAATCCAATGCCAGAGCTGAAGAACACTTGTAAAGGGCTGAGGAGGGCAGTTTCCTTGCCCATCTGGCAAGAGTCACCAATTTGTCAGGGTTACTGATTGCACTTCAGGCATATCTGTGTTAGCCTAAGTTGCAAACTGAAGCTGCCAAGTCATCACCAAACCTATACACAGCAACTACAATCACCTATGTCCTCTTTTCCCTATTCTTTCTCAAGAGGTTTCTGCTATGTGATATAACTTTGGTTTATGGGACCTTACACTGATTTCAAGCAAATTGAAGGGAGGGATAAAAACAAACAAACAAAAAAATAGGGCTTATAAATAGGGCTTTTGGTTTAAACTCAGCAAATTTTCATAAGTAACAAATGTCAGGCAGTACAGAGGTAAAGTAAGACTTGCTGAGCAAAGAAAATCAAAATAAGATTTTAGCCATATCAACCAAAAGAGAAGAGCAGAAACCTGCCTAAGTATGGTCTGCAAATACAATTTATTTTCATTTCTGTTTTTGGTGAGGATGATGATTCTGAACAGGAGGACAAAAAGGCAAATGAGAATGAAGTTACAGAAAAGGCATTTATCACTCTGGAAGTTCGGTGAAGCAAAAGAAGTTTAGTATATGCAAAGTGGAAGGAAAACAGAGACTTTGGATCTTACTTATGCTGTTTTAAAGTTGTGAAAATTAGGTCCTGGTATATGGGTTTTAAGCAAATCTGTACAATAGAAGTGGAGCTCTAAGGCTAAATCAAAGTGAAAATTTCCTGTTACTCAGATACCTACAGCCATCAGTGCAACCTGACCATGGAAAGAAAATTGTATTCTCTGGTGGGTACCAGAGTTCCTACACCATAGGAAGGATGGGAAGTTGCACAGGGTCCCAAGGGCCACACCTGTCTTGAGCTCTGGACTCCAGAAAGGTGACCTCAGAAAGGTGCAGGGGCAGGGAAGGGCTCACCCCATGCAGAGGAATGAAGAGACAGTCCTGCAAATGAAACTGGAAGAGTAGGGTCACCTGACCCAAACCAAAGTAAGTCTGAAGAGAGCTCTGACTTGAAGACAGACCACATGATAAACAGCAGGAGCAGGAAAAGGCTAATTTACTCAATGATTGTTTTGATGCAGGAACAAGAACCTGCCAATAAATAGATTTTAGTACATATTCATTGCTAACTACATAACAGCCACCCAGCAGGTGCAAGCAGGTTAATTCCTTAATTTAAGGCAGAATGGTCAGTTAGAGAGAGGAAATTATAAAGCTGGGATATAGGAAACATTAGATTTGGTGATCCATGGACTACTTATATTCATTTAATTAATTTTAAGTTCAAAGCAATTATAGTAACTACCTTTTAAAGTAACAAGACTACATTTTGACTTCTTACAGAGAGTTGCTATTAGCAATATTATCCATGCCCCAGCACTGATGATAACTTTGATTTCTTCCCAGTTATATAAACTTAAACAATGACCTCCCAGTACTTTTCAGTCTCCATATCAGTTGACAGTAATCATCAGAATGGTTTTGTTTACTTTATACAGACACTGCAGCTTTTTAAAAATAATTGTACTGAAAAGGGTTGATTAACATCCCTGTTAAATTGCAGGCAGTGTTTAAAGTTTGAAGCTTGGGTATACTTTCATGTTTAAGCTAAAGAAATATGACCTCTTGCTTGTCCTGACAGGGACTTGGATACTTGCCAGCCAGATTGATCCATGTTCTTAATCCATTTTGCAAATGCAATTATCAAGGGGCTTAGATAAAGTCAGTTCAAGAGACAACAAAGTTATTCATGGGTAAGATAAATCTGTTTAATGCCAGGAAACTATTCCTTCATTTGCAGGGAAGCCTTCAGAATTATTTTGTCACAGTAGCTTTTACACATTGGCAAGTTGCTCCAAGGTTGCAGCTATATAATAGCTGATGTAAAGGATCCAGGTGACTGGAGCAGGAGCAGGGGCAAGGCTTAGGAACATGACTGCATCCGATGGGAAAACACCCACACTGCTTGACCAGAGCTAAGCCCAGAAGCAGAAGCACTGGGGAGCACTGGGGAGCTTTTGTCAGAGCAGTGGAAAGAATATGTAAATCATGTAGCTAAGAATATACCATGTACTCGTATACTGAGTATACTGCTGGATTTATAGGTCTTGTCCAGATTCTTGGCTGCCTCTGGGCATAATCCACACAGAGACAGATGAAGTGCTAATCAACTTACACTCCTGGCAATGCAGAGTGGGAAGCATGAAGGGTTGATAACTGATTGGACTGGCCTGGCCGTGCATGTTTGGGAAGTAAGGATATTGAGCAGAGAGGAGAAAGTGCACAGATGGCTTCTTTAAATTATGATAACATCTCTGGATAGAGTAGGAAAAGTAAAATAATGTTTTGGCATAATTTCCTAGCCACTCTGCATGAGATGGAACATGCAGACATACCCAGGAGGAAGGTGAACACCAGAAAAATTAATATCTTACCTAGGCAGAGACTCAGCACTTAAGCATAGGACCTGCTGCTGTTTTACATGTCAGAGAGTCCCTGTGCAGTTTATGAGGTGGCTATTTTCTGCCTAGTGTTGCTTTTTAAGGCATCCTTGAAATAACACTGCAAATGTTAACAGATCACAGCTTATGAGGAGGTAGAGGGATTGTTTTTTTTAGCTGATTTGCTGAATTAATCAGCCAATGTTCATATCTGTATGGGGCAACTGTAATCTTGAGTTGAGAAATGGTGTCATGTTTTGGGAGCAGAGGTGGTGGCCGTAACTGACACAAGGAGCTGGGACAAGAGGACTCAGTTACGTACAAGTGGAAAAGAGAAAGAAGGGCAGCTAAACCACGGTCAGAGAAGGCAAAAAGACAAAAACAGGAAAAGAAAGGGCACTTTTTCAGAGAACAGTTTGGTCTGCAGGAAGGAAAATGGAGGTGAGGAAAGACCTTCAAGCTTGCTGCATTATTATACATAATAGTGCAGATAGAGCAGAATTGAGCACAAAGAGGAAGAAAGGCAAGAAAAGCATCCTCTGGCACAGGTTGCCCAGAGAAGTTGTGAATGCCCCATCCCTGGCAGTGTTCAGGCCAGGCTGGATGGGGCTCTGAGCAACCTGGATTAGTGGAAAGTGTCCCAGCCCATGGCAGAGGGGTTGTAGCTATGCAATCTAGTCTCTTCCAACCCAAACTGTTCTATGTCTTACGACAGGCAACGACGTGTACAGGGCACCTTTATATAAATTGTATTTATTTTCTTCTGAAAGCGGTGAAAAAGACACTTTCAGAGAAAAAATTTACTCACTCAGGGGAGGTACCATGAACTGATTTAATTAATCTGGAAATCTAATACTAGTCACCTGTTTTACAAAATATTTTATTCTATTTTTTCCTTATCTTTTTGTGACATAAGTGTTTAGTTGTCCTTAATGCTAATGTCTGGTTTTTGGGGGAGCATAGAGAATTGGTCCCTAACTCATATAAGAGATTTTTCCTTGTTTTTCTTCAGCCTAAGGTACTTTATCCAGTCAAATTCTATGGCATACTAGGATCTCTTACAAATCTATACACCCAGCAAAAATTCTTGAGAATTAATATATTTTGTGTTACAAAGCACTCAGCTTTTCTATTTCTGTAAACACATTACAAGCCGCTTTTCAAAGAGGTCCAATTTTTAATCAAATCTGTGCATTTTGCCTTTTTGAAATGCTGTGCTTCTGACTATTTGCCTTTAAAGTAAGACTTACTATGATGATACCGAAGACTAATCTCTGTCACTTTTACTCGTGTTGATTTTTTTTCCTCTGGATCAGTTCCACTGGTCTCAATACAATTAAACAAACACCATCGCACTCCTGTTGAGCAAGGCAGGCAAAATCTGGGCTCGAGATGGTGATGTCATTGCTGTGCTTGCTGGGTACTGACCTCAGCAAAGCCTTGCTGGCAATTCTTAATGCAGATAATGCTTAAGGAGATCTCTATCTGCTTTCTTAAAAAGCAGATAACTTAAAATAGACTGCAGCAACACTCACGGATTTTTTCTGTTAGGTGCTGGCAGCCCAAGTTGAAAGTGCATTTATGAAAGGTTCACCCAAAGTTGTTTATAGCATTCCCAGATATTCATCATGAAATTCTTCTGCAGCCCATTGTAAAACACAAAGGCTCTAAATCCCTCCAGGCTTCACAAAGATTTGTGCAGAGATTATAAATGAGCAGCAGATTAGCGCCAGATGAAAAAATCTGTTCTGTTAGAGAGCTAATCTGCAAGTGGCCGGGTTTGCTGCACATCTTCACAGCAAGGTCTGACAAATCTACCTCCCTGCATTTGGAATTTTGGTCAAAATCAACGTGTCACCTTGCATTGTGTCTTTATCCTCTCAGATGACTCGACACCCTCCCTGGCATCTCCCTGGTGCTTGTGCCTGCTGCAGGCAGCATGGCTGTACCAGGCAGGGCTCTGCCAAGCAGCAGGGAGGCAACAGGCAATGCTGAGAGTGTTGGCAAGCCGTGAGAAGGCTGACGATGAGGATTTAAAAATAAAAGACCTCAGAAAATATGCAGCTGTTTTCAAACCCAGTGGCAGGATTAAGGAGGCAGAGAAGCCTCCTCCAAAATCTGAAGAGGAGCGGTCACATGGGTGCACAGGCTGCGTGCAGCACTTGGTGTTCCATCTGAAGGTGGCACAGGGGAGCACAGTCACTGGCCTTGGCACAGGACAAGGAGCTAGTTTTGCCTGACTTTTAATCCTGGCTAAACCACTGAATTCCCTCTGTGATCTCTGACATGTTAGAGAATGTAGATATAGAAAAGTCCTATTAGTCCACATAATCCAGTTCTCTGCAATACAGGATTAGCCTGTAATCTTTATTCACTAGTATTTTGTGGGATGGAGCTTCTGACACGCTACCTCTGGTACACTGTTCTACCTGTAGTACACCACTGCTGCTTGTACTGCGTGGTGTTCTCACAGCCAGGAAAGTCTCTTGGTACATTGCTTTAAGATTAAAGTATTAAAATAATATTTCCCCATTATTTCACATTTCTGTCCATATAATGAAGTGCAGCATTAGAAAATAGGTCTTCTGAATCTTAACTAATCTGAAAAAATTATCAAGGGGAACAGTTCCTCCTGTAAACAGCTGTTCAGAAATAAGCTGTATTAGTGATGTAGCTTGATCTGCCCTGCAGGCAGCCATTCTGGGGGCAGGCTGTGCTTGCTCTCTTCTCCCCACCATCCACCATTACCTCCTGCCAGGCCAGCTGGGCTTGACCAGGAGCTGTGGTCCAGGAGGAAGATTAACAGCAAATACTTTGAGTAAAATGAAGTACCTCTACTGTCTGCATGAACATTAAAATAGCTAGAAAAAAAAGGTTTAAAATATCAAAACCCTAAAACTAACATCTTACCTAAAGTGGGTTGTCAGCTACAGTGTGTGTTCTCACTGTAGTACAGCCCAAGGACATAGAAAACAATTCAGCTAACTAACCACACACAATATTTTTTTTCAGGGAAAGCTGAATTACTCTCCAGACCCCACTGTCTGTATTAACTAGACAGCTAAATCTTATTTATGATGTCTGTGGGCTCTGCCTGACATATGTGTGGTAGGCAGGTGGCGTGGCCTGCACAAGGTAAAGGTACTGGCCCTGGAACTCTCTGCAGTGCAAGGATGGATCCGTTCCCAAAATGATTTTGGGAATTGATTCATTGAGCATGGTGGTTGAGTTCATGTCATGTATCTCATAACAGAGTTGCTGCAGAGAAAAAAAAATAGTCCCTTTTGTTAATGCTAACAAAATATAATGTAGAGTGTTTTCTTGGTCAAACACATCAAAAGGATGCAGTGATCTGTTTGTGGACTTTCAGCATGTCAGATTCTTATTTCTGAGTTATCCAAAAATGTCTTTAGTTAAGAAACAGCTGGTATTTTCTTTGTGGACAAACTTTTTATCTTGCAGAGTAATTTTAAAACAAATTGGTTCACATATAGCACTAATAAAATAATGTTATTTGTAGAAGTCTAATGTGATTTCTGGCTAATGTTTTGTTGACAACTGACTCATTATATTTGACTCTTTTGTCCTCAGTGTCTTCATTCATATAATTCTTTATGACATTAAGGGAAACAGCTTACTATATTACACAGAAATAGGCTATGAATTAACACACATTATTACAGATATATATATACACATACATATATATAGTATACATATATATATTTACTCATCTACAGCATCTAAATGAACTTTCGGCTGTCCTATAAATTCTAGTAAGAGATCATGAAAGAACCAAGCATTTTTTGCAGAAAAAAAATCCTTTTTTTTTTTTTTTTGTCTATAGAATCACTTCAATAAAAGCAGAATATGGCTATGACAGATCTGGGTCACTAAGACAATGTGATGTGCACTAGCAAGATGTTAGAAGCATCAGTGTATGGAGCTCTTTTAGAGACTGGGTACAAAGAACCTCCTTAGTTGCCAGGTCTCAGCTCTTTATGTCATGTCATATAATCTCTTTGATAAAATGAGCAGGCTCTGTCTTTATCCACTACTCACCCCAGAAGACTCTTCTCTTTCTGTTGTTATTAGAAATATTTTATTAGTTTGTGGTTCTGATTTTTTTTAATGGATAGTTCATCTTCTTTTTTTTTTTTTTTTTTTTTTTGTATTTTTTTTTTTTTTTTTTTTTTTTTTTTCCTGTGGCTCCATCATTTTCAGTTCAAATTTATTCTTTTTCACACAGATGTGATTGGAATCGTGCAGTATTCCAGCTGAGGCCATAACAGTGTTGTCCAAAGTGCTTTGTACAACTCACTTAAGACTGCCCAACACCATGTTGTCACAACCTTGTTGCTTTAATAGCAGAAAGAGATCAGGATACCCAGTTCTTTCTCCTTTCCTCTTTCCAACAGACAAGTCCATAGCTGAGATTATTGTTTATTCTCAAGGGTATGATCTTGCACTTTGTCCCATTAGTTCCTGTCCCTTTTGGAGCAGAGACCAAGCATTGTGTATTATGCAAGAAGTTCTCTTAAGAAGACTTTAAATTAAACTTTTTTAAAGGCCGATTTCTAAAAGCCTCACTGAAATAAGGGCAAAGGTGAGAAACCTTACGATTGCTCAAACACAGTTCAGTTACCAGACATCAGTTCCATAAGAAAGCCACTTTGCTCCAGCTCTTTCCTGAGAAGGATGTTGGGTCATCATTTGTCACAGCTGCTTTCCCTGTTCAAATGCTTGAGTATCTGGTGGCAACTGAGACTGAGATTCAGGTCCAGATTGGGATCATAACCATGAGTTTGGGTCTTCAGTCTAGGTATCTACAAGCAAACTGAATGTGTGTCTGTAATGTCACTCTGAGCTTGTTAATAGAGCTAACAAGGTAAGGAAGAAAATGTGCAAGAGACAGTAAGTATACTTCCATTGAGAAGATAGAATGCACATGCTTGCTAAAGGCTTTCTGATGCTTTAAAGGAGGAAAAAAAAAAAAAAAAACAAAGAAAAAAAGTAAGGAAGCAATGAGAAATTATAATTATATAATATACTTTTTCCATTTCTTAATTTTTTTCTTAAGCTGTCCACTAAGGTAGTAATGTTGGAAGACAGAATATGAATGAATCTGAATAAGTCAATAGGAAGCAAGAAATTCAAGCTAGCGTAATTCAGCCCACAAGGCAAGGCTTCTCTACCGTTTTTTCTTGTTGTCTTTGAGGCTCCTTATGTAAATATTTGGGATTTTGGCAGGGTGGTTTGTCTTTGTTATTGCAGTGAAACATTTGCTGCAAGCATACTGACTGAAGTCTGCTTCGTAATTATTTGCAGTAGCAACTCAGCAATGGAGACTTAAAGCTGTAAAACTGCCAATTTTGTATTAATGTGATCCTCTTCTCTCCCTCTCCCAACTGCAGCAAACACACAGTTGGTGTAGGAAGTCTGCAAAGCAGAAGAAGCAACCATATCCATCTGTGTCAACAGATTCCCACTTCACCACTCTGCCAGCCTTTCTTCCTCAGAGCCACCAATCTGTCTCTGAGCAGCCACAAGAAACGGGTCAAAAAAAGGTGCATCACACAAATGGCCTTGGTCATTATCTTGGTTTCTCCCAGCAGGACTTGAGAGACAGTGATCCAGGAGACTTCACGTGCAGATCCAGGAGTGCCTCCAGCATTTCTTGGTCATTTCAACGAAGCAAATCTCTGTTCTGCTTGCCCACAGTGAACTCCTCTTCAGCGCCAGAGACATTTCATTTCAGTGAACCATTTCAGTTTTTAAACACTGGGTCACCTGCAACCAGGTTAAAAACATGGAAATGCAGCCCCAAGCTTAACATTGATGACTTGGAAGGTGCCCAAGAGACTGATGTGGACACAGGGATGAAGCTATCCTTCTCAGACCTATCTGTGGTTTCTGCATACTCTGCCCTTAATGGGTTTTGCAGTGAGTTGGAAGACTCTCTTCCATCACAGAAACAAACTATCAGTAGGGCTAAACAGGCAGCCACAGGTGGAAGGCCTCTATCAGCCATGTGCAATACTTTTGAGACAGCTGATGGTTCACTGCCTTCTCTCTCAGAATGGTCTTCCAGCTCTTTCATGTCAGCATCTCTCTCTGAGCAACACAAACAGCCCTTGAGAGCAGCTCCCTGTAATCTGGATGATCATGTTTGCCCAGCTTCACCAGTCAGTGAAGAAGAATTTTACATCTGAGGTTTCTCTAACTTACACCTTCCACAGGAAATGTGTTCTACTTGTGAATGACAGCAGTGGGTCCACCCTGAGCTTACAGAAGGTCCCTTGCTGAGGAGAAGGTGATGCAGAAGTGTGTCAAATATTTGAAGAAAATACTCAGAACCATCTGGGATTGGCATTCCTAAATGGGGTAAAGTAAAGCAGTCTGAGATTACAACCTGTGTTTTTGTACTGGAGGATATGATCAGCACAGAGGCTTTTGCACAGCAGCACAAGGTGGATTTTTTCTGACCAGCCCTTGGACTGATGGTGGAGGAAATGCCAGAAGAGACACATAGTATTCCATTTTAATTTGGCAGAAAATGAAGACTAATTTGTAAAACAAACTGCTTTAACTTTTTTGAGAAATTTCCTTAACTCAGGAAAGGTGGGAAAATAAAGGAGTCTTGCTTCTCTTTCACTGATTCCAAAGGCAGCCCTAAGCACAGCAGGTCCCAGCAGCACAGCCCCAGTAGGGTCAAGAAAGAAGTTTTTTGTGACAAAGTAGTTTCCTTCCAAACTTCCAAGCTGGCAGTGGTGAGGTGGGGTATAATCACACAAACATCAAGGTCTTCAAGATCATCTAAGTCCAAGTGACAACCTAGCGCTACCATAATCACCCCTAAACAATATCTACAAGTGCCACATCCTGTCATCTCTTAAACACTTCCAGACACTGACCCTACCAAATCCCTGGACAATTTATTCTAAGGTCTGACTACCCTTTCATTGAAGACTTTTTTCCTAATATCTAATCTGATCCTCCCCTGATGCAAGTTAAGGCTGTTTGTTCTCATTGTTGCACTCAAGATATGGCAGAGAGACCAACCCGCACTTCACTGCAACCTCTTTTCTGGTAGTTGTAGAGATCAGCGAGTCATTAACCCCTGAGCCTCCTTTCTTTCAAACTAAAAAAATCCCAGTTCCCTCAGCTGTTCCTTATCAGACTTTTGCTCCAAACATTTCACCAGCTCCATTGCCCTTCTCTGGACATGCTCCAGCCCCTCAATGTCCGTCCTGAACTGAGGGGCCCAGAACTGAACACAAGGATTCAAGGTGCAGCTTTCACCAGTGCCAAGTACAGGTGTCAATCTCTGCCCAGGTCCTGCTGGCCATGCCATTCCTGACACAGGCCAGGATGCCATTGGCCTTCTTGGCCACCTGGGCACATGCTGGCTCATGTTCAGCTGGCCATTGACCAGCATCCCCAGGTTCTTTTCCAGCCACTCTTCCCCCAGCCTGTTGCAATGCATGGGGTTGTTTTGGCCCAAGTGCAGGACCCAGCACTTGGTTCATCTTACTGAGCTCCACAAGACTGTCCTCAGCCTATTGATCCATCTGTCACAATCACTCTGGAGAGTCTTCCTGCCCTCCAGCAGATCAACACGCCCATCCAATTTGGTGTCATCTGTGAACTTACTGAAGATGCACTCAGTCTGTCATCTAAATCATCAATGAAGATGTGAAACAGAGCTGAGCCTTGGGGAACACCACCAGTCACCAACAACTAACTGGATTTAGTTCCATTCACCACCACTCTTTGGGCCTGGCCACCCAGCCAGTTTTATTCAGTTAAGAGTCCACCCATCCAAGCCATGAGCAACCAGTTTCTCTCAGACAGTGCTGTGGGAGACAGTTTCAAATGCTTTCCTAAAGTCTGGATAGACAATACCCACAGACTTTCTCTCACCCAATTGTCATAAAAGGAGATCAGGTTGATCAAGCAGGATTTATTTTTCATAAACCCATGCTGGCTGGGCCTGAGCCCTTGGTTGTCCCGTACGTGCCACATGATGGCACTCAGGATGATCTGCTCCATGACTTTCCCCAGTGCCAAGGTCAGGCTGACAGATCTGTAGTTCCCCAGGTCATCCTTCCAGCCCTTCTTGTAGATGGGCATCACATTTGCTAATTTCCTGGGACTTCTCTGGGAAACCAAAACTGCTGGAAAAGGCTTGAAATGGGTTTGGCAAGATCTTTTGCCAGCTCCCTCAATGCTCTCAGCTGCATCACATCAGGGCACACAGATGTGTGTCTAACTGGGACAGAAGGTCATTAACCCATTCCTCACAGATTATGGGGACTTCACTCAGCTCCTCATCCCTAACTTCCAGCTGTCATTACTGGGTATGCTGGGGGCAGCTGTTTTTGGTGTTAAATACTGAGGCAAAAAGGCATTAGGTACCTCAGTATTTTCCTCATCCCTTGACAATGTGCTGCCCTGTGCATCCAGCAAAGAATGGAGACTCCTTAGCCCTCCTTTTGCTGCCAATGTATTTATAGAAACTTCTTCAGAAGAAGCGTCACTCCTTCCCCAGAGAAGAGGAAATTCCATTGTATATTTGGACAGACCAGGATGCAGAAAGTGCCAAAAGGGAAACCTTAGAGAACATTTTCAGCCCCCTCACCTAGAAAGCCCATCCTGTTCAGCTAGGAGGGAGCCCTCTGTCTGTTTTCTGAACCACTTGTATAGACAGTGATAACCTGAGTAAGCTATGTTTGCTACTCCTAACTCAGGCAGTACAGCTGAGCTTTTTGGAATACAAACCAAGAAAGATAACACAGCATTTTTATATATTGCTACACCATTAGACCCAAATAAAAGACAGCTCCCTGCTTTTAATGGGTTATTATTTTTCTGTTAAAAATAATTCATGCAGAAACTTCTTCTTCTTATTTCCAGTGCAAGCATACTTCTTTCTGGATAAAACTTATTTCTTCTTGAATACCTCTCCCCAAAGGGAAAAAAGGTCAGATTTTCTGGCTTTCAGAAGATGTTTTTAAAATATGCATTTTTGATAACCTGTTTTGTTCCAATTAAGTTGGTATTAAAAAAAAAAAAAAAAAAGTAAGTGAAAAGCTGCTAATATGACAGCTAAATACCTTCACCAGGATTTAAGTCATATAAACAAATTTTATTATGTGTATTCTGAAAAGTTGTATTTTTGGCTGACAAGTGTCACTGATCACAGCTCTGGTTGAGCCACTGGGGATGATGTTAAAAGGTGTGTGTATAATGCTGGATGTAACCTATATACAGGTGTAAATGCTGATGGCATTGTGGTGCATGGAATAAAAATTCATTTTCAGAGAAAGATATTTGCTGTATTGCCAGGTAATTTTAAGCAAAAGAATTTCTGCTTTGGAGGGTGAAAAAAAGGTGGAAAAGCACACCATACTGTAAATAATAGTTACAAAAAGTGGAACCGCTCCTCTGGCCTGTTTCGGTAAGTGAAGGGTTTTTACAAATTATGCTGGAAGAAAATCTAGAGGAAAATTAGTGCAGTTTTTAGGGGAGGAACCTGCAGCCTGAATCCAGAAGAGGCCAGAAGGATAGTCAAGGCTTTTCCTTCTGCTGTTATTTTCTTCACACAGGAGAAAAGGCAACAAAATGAAGTCCAAGTCTCCTCTCTGTGAGATGCTGTCATAGCATTTACCAAGGGTAGACTTTTTCTTTTGTGCTATAGACAATGAATAAATAGGAAAGTCTATTAAGGTAAAGAGCACAGAAGAGTATCAGCCTTCTGCCCTCTAAAACTGTTTAGGCTTTCTGCAGTTTTGGGTAAACTGTTCTCTTTCTGGAACCAAAAATAGCACTAATGAAGAATTTGTCATGGTGTGTTTACCTGCTCTGTGCTCCTTCAGACCCCACGCAGTCTTTCCTCTGACTGTTGTGACCTTTAGATCAAATCCTTCCCTGGAACATGTGAACCTGATTTATCTAAAGTTGTATCCCCATGTTATTGTATGTACCCTGCCAAAATATATATAAAACACTATGAAGTCAGACTAGCCACTTTTTCCATCAGCTTGCATTTCACCATACAAACAGTGATGCCTAGGACAGTCAGCATCCACAGGTTTAAATTTATGCTTCATCATTTTCTGTCCAGAATCATGGTATTTTTCACAATATTTTAATAATACAGAAAACATTTGATCTGGATATGAAATAAAAAACTCGTTTGAGCTGATGTAGCTGTCTGATCCTGGCATCATGCCAACACTCCTGACAAAAAGCTGATTGGGGTTTTTGATGAAGAGGAAGCTCTGAACCATTTTTCTGCTAAGACATGCCTCTGGAAGGAGTCCATCACATCTGGGGGCTGTTGCCTGCTGCAGCAGGAAGCACTGGTATTGGAGGTCCACAGGGAAGCACAGGACAGCTCAAGTGTCAGTCATGAAATTTGTGTGTGTTATTAACCAGCAGCTCCACAAGCATCTCTGCTCCAGATTTTGCCACATTAATCCTGATGGGAAGAGAGCCAAACTAGTGTCCACAGACTCTGCATTTGTACTGTCCCCACTGGTTCTGTCTCTGTTCTGTTTACTGATATCTAACTAGAGATTAAAGTTTTAATTGTTTACATTGATGGTGCTTGTAACCAAATCTTGTAAAAAGATAAGTGTCCTACTGTCAGGAAAAACAGAGGTGATAATGTACAGAAAACTTTCTGTCTATAAAAAGGCAGACTATGAAGTGTGTTTCACTGAAGGTAGGCTTCATTAATTCTCTTCCCATTATTTAAGAAGGGGCTTATCTCTTCAGAGACTTGAATATGCACAAGTTTCATGGCATTTACTATTGATTTGGTTAAATTATCAACAGTGTATTTTGAGAACTGCAGGTTTTTCCTTAACTTTCTCTCCTTCTCACCCCCGAATGCACTGCTTTTGTGAAATAAAATAGAGATGAAAAGTCAATTATACACAACCTTTTGTGTGTTCATTTATAAAGTATTGCAGACTTACAGAGTATTTTAACTAGGCTGCAAAGTGACTGCAGTGCCACAGGCTCTACAGCTTTTGGTGGTGTGTGTTGGTGGGATAATTACAAAACAAACACAGCAAAAGTATTTTTTTGGACTCAGGTTTGCCTATGCAGACTGGGTCTTTTGATTCTCACTGTGGTGTTGTAAATAATTTTCTATAATAAGGCTGAAGGATAAAATAGGAGCTGTGAGTTATCTTCTTATAGATATTACATATTGGTAATCTTGCATGCTCAAATCCCATCTGGGTTTGTTTGATGTACACTGGTCCTCATAATCATCCTTTCCTCTTATTTTCATCAGTGTGTGCTGTTACCTATAATGCATTTCTTTATTCCTCCCATGGGACACGTCTGCATGTCAGGATTACATTGTATATGCAAAGTTGTGTAGGTTTGGCTTTGTTTGGTTTTTATGGTTTAACATTACGGGGTTTATATATGTTTTTATGGCACTTACAGAGCTGTAGAAACATCAGGAGTTGGAAGAGGCCTGTGGAGATCATCTAGTCCAAAACATCTGCTCAAAGCAGGCACAAAGCTGCTGAAGCCTTGAGCTTTGGAGTTAAATCAAGTTGTTCAGGACCTTACTGGGTCATACTTGAAAATATCTAAAGGTGGCAATGTCATGGTGTCTCTGGGCAATGTGTACCATGTTTACTGGCTGTAATGGTGAAGAATTGCTTCCTAATGTGCAGTGAGAATTTCCCATGTCCAAAATTGTGATCTTTCCCTCTTGTTTCACTGAGCACCTGTTAGAAATCCAGGTTCTGTCTTCTCTATAATCCTACTTTAGGTGCTGGAAGACTGTAGTTGCTCCTGCAGCCATGGTCTTCTCACTCCCTGACCCTCTGAACTCTCTCAGGTTTGTCAATATCACTCTGGTACTGACGATCCCAAAACTCTACACAAATGTATGGATATGGATGATGAGTGCTCAGATGCCAGGAAGAAGAATTTCTGCCAACCTGATGGCAGCTCCCTTGCTTCAACCATCCAGTATCCTGTTGGCCTTATCACTGTAAGGTTGCCCTGCTTAACCATGTCCAGTTTGCTGTTTACTGGGACTCCAAGGTCTCTTTCTACTCCCTAGCCAGGAGATGCTTCCTCCTGTGCTGATTGTACCAGGTTAGTCCATGCCAGGTGCTGGGCTTCCCTTTGCTTCTATTGAGGTTCTCACTGGCACCTTTCTCCAGCCAGTGAAGGTCTCTCTCTGTGAGTGGCAGCCCTGCCCTTCAGTGTATAGGTCATGGCCATCACATTGGCCAGTTTCTGTTGCACTGTCAGTGGTTAGCCCATCCAGCCCCGTGGGCTTGTGTATGTGCAGCTTTCTGCATCCTTGACTCAGACTTCTAGTGTGATTAGTAATTTTCTCCTCAGAACTTTGCTAGATACAGATGCATGGCAGATACAAGTGACAACCTTGTGACTGGAGACAGTTTTTCCAGTTGGCAGATTTTTCCAGTTACAGACAGAAAATTTTCTAGTCTGTCCTGAATAACTTCTGAGTTGTTTAAGGAAGGTTCATCTGTCTTTCCTTATTGATTGACTGCGTTGTGGGACATGCCCACAACAATATCCCTTTTGTTATCTTCTCCTGACCCATGAGCTCTTGAGTGTCTCACCCTCTGCTCCCCCACAAACATGCACAAATTTGTGCCACTTAGTTGATTAGAGCACGAATCTCATCACTGTCTTCCACCCTTCCATAAAGAACCTGTATCCAGCCATGAACACTCTGGACCCAATTGCCTCATCATATCTCTAAGTCATCTGGTTTTACATCCTGAGAGTGCCGAGGTCTTCCAGGAGTGATTTTCAGGTTCAGCAGCCTGAGCTTTGGCACTGGCCACCCCATCTGCCCAACAGAATGGAGCTATCCAGGTGTTGGGAAGAGAGTCCCGCCTCACAAAGGGCTTAGGAAGCAGTTTCAAACAGTGCATGTGTTCACTACTGCAGAAATCAGATTATTGTTTTTCCTCTCAAGCTGAGAAGTCTTAAGCCAGTAACTCATTCTTCATAAGAAAACTATTCCATGCTTTTATTGATTCTTGTTACCCCTCTGTTACCTTTCCGTGCTGTGTGCTTTTTGAACTAGAGGGTCCACAAATACATATAGTTTTTGGATACACTGTATGAGTGTTCAGAACAGCTTGAAGGTGTTATCCATTTTATTCTGTTTCTCTCTTAGTAATGGAACTTTCTACTTTGGCTGCAGCTGAGCACTGAGCTACCCTTTTCATAGATATTTGCATAGTCCTAAAGTCCAATTCCCAAGAAGAAAAAGTCAGTTGAGAACCTACTATCATGTATGTAAAATACTATATTTTTGAGATGTAATGAATTTTAGAATTAGCTACATTGAATTTCATCTGCCTTTTTATTGCCCAATTGCTGTCTATTGTGACATTTTTCTGTAGCTTCCCCAGTTGTTCATAATTTTTACTGTCTCGGGTGCTTAATAACCTCAACAAAATCCCATCTCACAAACCCCCCCTTTTTCCAGGTTTAAGTCATGCTGAGCAATGTAAGCTTGAGTACAAATCCCTGCATGACTCCACTGCCAACCTCCTTCCACTGTCAGAGCTGGCTATTTATTTCTACCTTCTGTTTCCTGCCTTTTAATCAGCCCTGTATTCACATAACCTTACCTCTTAAACCATCACAGCAGGATTTCTTGTAAAGGCTTTGATGAAGGGCTTTGGAAAACTGTTCTTTGTTGATGCCTTCTGAAGCACCAAATAGATTTAAGAGGTGCGATTTCCTTTTATAAAACCACGTTGACTCTTCCTCAAAAATATCCTCAAACTTCTCTTTGTTTGGATAGTGACTTGTCTCTCATCTGAGCCCAGGTGTCATTTGAGTACAGAGCAATCCTCCCTGTGGCATTCTTTCCTAGCTTCCAGGACTCAGCATAGTGCAAATTGCTAAATTTACACAGAGCCCAGACTTCTTGAGCCAAGAACTGCTCAGATCACTGTGTGGCCAACTGCTACATTGTGCTACCAATGGATTTATCCTACCTGAATTTGTCAGATTTCTTGTTGAATTTCTCTTAATTCCCCAGGTTTCCACAGCAGCTCAGGGCAATGAGCAGCACTGAATTCATTCCCTGCATGAGAAGAGAGACACATTTATTTGCAGCCTTCACCCAGACAGTTTCACTGAGCACCTTGTGTTCCAGAAGTCAGTGCAGGCTTCTGGGCCATGTTGCCTCAGCAGCTGGGAAAGATTTTGTTCCCCTGAGCTCAGGAACCAATGGGTTGGGAGATAGCTGTGGAGGAAAGACTTGCAGCCTTCTAAGGCATAAATCCTGTGGAGGAATATTCTTCAGAGGTAAATGGGAGTGGGACAAGGAGTAGGTTCAGACACTGGATTGTTTGATTGCTTGTCTCTGTTTTGGACCACTTCAAGCAGATTTCACCAAGACACTTCCTGGTGGTGCCCTTCACCCCTAGGACTGTCCCCAGTATGGAAGAGGCTACATCAAGGTTTGGCCTCTCTGTCTCCAACACTTTCCCACTGGGCTATTTGCATCTTCCTGTCACCCCATGTTCCCTTGGACATAGCACAGCATGAAACTCAGCCTCTCAGGGTCATGCTGTAAAAACACCTCTCAGCTGGGCGCAGTCCTCACTTGAGTTCAGATAACAGCCCCGTGCACAGTGAGCTGGCTGAACAGATCCTGCGGCAGTCCAGGGGGGAAGCCAGGCTGGCTGCAGCGTGCTGTGGCTAGTGACCTGTGGGGCATCTCTGAAGCTTGTGGACCCAACTCAAACAGTGCTGGGCTGGCCTTGGAGCTCAAGAACAGTATTCAAACTGCTGCTATTTTTTTTTTTTTTTTTTTTAGCAGTTTACAGATAGACAGTATTGCTTCAATTTGGCCACAGAAAGGCAGTCTCAGGAGGGCTTCAGAGCTGTGCAGGGGCAGGATGCCCTGTGGATGGCTGTGGCCCAGCCTCCTGCATCAAGGCATGGCTGTCGTTTTAATCAGACGTCCTTTTCAATCCCTTTCCTCCTGAATATATGGTGCATAAAATGGGAAAATAGCTTGGTAGGTGGAGGCCGTTAACCCAATCTGCCAGTCATAAATGAAAACTGCCGAGTTAAGGGCGCATAATGAAATGGCGATGGAAATGGGTACCGCCAAGCCTGACGGGTCGGTATGAGCATCACGCCGTCCCCAGCTGCGGGACCGCGGGGCGCCCGTGCCGTGCGACGGGATGGCCGCGGTGCGGGATTGTGCGCCTCGCCGGGAGGCCAGCAGCCTGCACAAGTGCCTAGTGCCATCTCGTGGCCCGGCGCACACGAGAGGCAGCGCACGGAGCTGCCAGCCCGGGCGGTGCCGCCCCGGGGCAGCGGGGAGCCCCGGCTCCGGCTCAGAGACCCGCGGCCCCGCTGCCTCCGTGCCCTGAGCGCAGCCTGAGCTGCCCGCAGCGCCCGGGCTGCGCTCCCTGCCCGCTGCCCTGCCTGCCTGCCCTGCCTCCCAGCCCTGCCTCCCTGCCCTGCCTCCCAGCCCTGCCTCCCAGCCCTCTCTCCCTGCCCTGCCTCCCTGCCCTGCCTCCCTGCCCTGCCTCCCTGCCCTCCCTGCCCTGCCTCCCTGCCCTGCCTCCCTGCCCTCCCT